GATTTAAACAAATTTACAGTCAAAATGACCTGCTCAATGAGATAGACTGGGCAACGACACCGAAATTGGTCTAGTTCGAGTACAAAAATAGTCCTTAAATTAATTTTAGAACCTTTCAATGCATAATTTAATCATAAAACATATTTGAAATTTGACAAGTTTATTATCAAATCAAGCGTCTCAGAGAGACAAATTTAACAAACCTATGATCGTTCAATGCTGACGTCACTATGGCACTCGTTCACTAAACGTCATTTGATCGAACAAATCTCTTCAAATTCCATTCTTATTTACAGTTTGTAGAAAGGCCTTTTCAGACTATATAAATAGAGATCTACCCCTCTCGAGGGAATATCTTAAGCAAGATGAAGACTGAAGCACGATGAAGGAGCTGAGGTCCATCATCGCTTCTGCACTGCAGATCCAACAAATAACTCTCACTCCCGTAACTGCCAGGCACCGTCAACCACCACCTTACGACACTCATCAATCATAAAAGCTTAAAGATACTCGGTGTATATTCAAGACAACAAGAAAATTTATGGAGCTAGATGCCAAGTTCAGAATCAAGATGTTAACTTTCACCAATGTGACAATAGATGATGGAATGATTAATTAAATAAATGAACTGTGTTGTCTCTTTCCAAGAGATCTTCTTCCATATGCATTCATACATATTTTTCTTCAAATCAAAGCCACCTAAGAAGAGCTCTGATGTGCTCAAAATTATTCTTACCCCTTAATGGTAAATTGCAGCTTAACTACGTCAGTGTTTCAGCACTCATCTGCTAGATATTATTGCATGCTTTCTTGTCAAGAATCCCCACTTCAATTTATTTGAATTAAAAAGCTTCCAAACATGCCATCAATTTCTCATGCTTCTTTTATCAAAGAAACAGTTGCTTTGTGATTTGTCATTACTGTCCAACATTTGAGCTGGCTTTGGTTGGACTGAAGAAATTTCAATAATTTGGTAGCGGGTGGTTATCAATCTCCAGCATTTGTTTGCGATAACCTATTGGTTGAAAGAGAGGACAAATTTTATGAAAAAAGTAATATTGACCGGATCCAGCTTCCATGGATCTAACGGTTTAGAGCGCGACACATGTCGTCAGACGAGCATCTATGAGAATAATTAAAGGTAACTGGAGGACGATTGAACAATAATAGTCGATTGGTTAGAGATTAGTTGAGTAGCTAACCAGAGGCCGATTGAACCAGATGGCGACCAACTCAAGAATTGCCCATATAAAGATCGATAGGCTAGAAGGCGACCTGCCAGAGGTGCACCGACTGAATTTCATGATGTAGATTGATCGGGGGCCAACCGATAAAAGAGGTCAGGTGCGTAATTGTTATTTTATAATAATTTTAGTCATATATAAATAGAGAGACAGTTAAACCATATACTAAAATATTTCACCTCTAACATCTCTTTGTACGTTTCTTTCTTCTTACCACATTCTATATCTCAGGAGTAATTTGTGTATAAATCTAAGTTCAGTACAAATATTAGCTGTTGATGATGTGGATTGACAAATTCTAATTTCAGTGAATAACAAATATCTGTCAATCTATTACTATTGTCTGAGCTCTTATATTATTATTATTTTCCTTAGATTTTGGCTCAAAATTTCATAAGCCAAATACAACATTATAGGATCTTCAAGTAATGATTGAATGAAGGAAAGCTGAACAATAGTGTTTTACGGTATGTTTGGGGCACATAGTTTTTCGAGATGTTAAAATGCAGTTTACTCAAACAAACAAAATTACAGTGTGTTTTGAAAACACCACTGCACCGCCGCCCCAGACGAACCATTAAGGTATCAGATTTGAGCTGAATTCCTTATTTTTACACAAATATGATATATATATATATATTGCCCGCTTAAGATCTTACAAATTTGTCATCCCGAGGCTGACTTGACACTTCTTAACCAATAATATTTTTCAATAATGCAACATCCAATTGGCATGTGGAGATCATTCACTTCTAAACAATTAAAATAATTAATTTGATTATAAATTGGTGGTATTTTTGCATCAATTTATCTTGTGAGGACTTGACACTTCTTACCTATGCTTTAAATTGGTGGTATTTTTGGTGATATGAAGATCTTAGCTATGATGAAAAAGTTTAGGTGTTACATATGTAAATACACAGGAATTGGGTGTTACGTGTGTAATTAGTGACCCAACATCAACAATTTTGATTTTATAATATATTAATTACAAAAAAAAGAATAATTAGAAAAAAAAAATGATCATTTGTAGAACCTTCCCCACCATTTTTCCATACAAATTTCTCAATTCCTCCACAAGATAATAATGTACCTCTTTGCAAATTCTTTTCTAATAATCAATTTTTCTATATAATCACATATAATATATATTATATATATATATATCACACACATACCTAAAATACCAAAAAATAATTCCAAAAAATAATTTCCAAATCCAACTATACAATAACAAATAAGAACAAAAAAATCATTATTAGATGATAATTTTTTATTTTTTTGAAAATATCAGACTGCAACCAGAAAGCTGTCATCGTGCCAAGATGAGCTGCCACCGTGCCAAGATGAGTGTGATGTGAAAATGCTGTTTTCAGCATTTTGAAAACGCATAAGCTGTCAAATTGTTGTTTACCCAAACAGACCAGGTGCGTTTTCAAAAAGCAACCGCACTAAATAAACTGCCCCAAACGGAACCTAAATTAAGAAAAATAAAAATAAAATAATAAGAATATTATGATCATAGCCTGAGCGACAGATCCACGTCATCATCCTCCTTCCTCCTATAAACCCCACCCCAAAACATCTCCCCTCCCAAACTTCCTCCATGCCTCGCTGGCGCCGTCGCCTTCCGCCCTGTACCGCCGCCTGCCGAGGCGGAGTGCTGCCTGAGAACGGCGGCCATCTCCCTGCTTCTCTTGGCGAGGTTTCTCTCAACCTTGTGAGCATTTTGATGGCCTCCGAGAGCCTGGGAGCTGAAGAAAGTTCTCTCGCAGTAGTTGCAGGTGAACACTCTCTCCGGTTCGTTTATGTAATCTGCCATGGTGGAAGATGGTGGAGAGGACTGGCTCAGTGCCAGCTCTAGGTTTATTTCCTTTGTCTCCATGAACGGTGATTATTAAGTGTAAGCCCTGCAATTTATGGAGTGGTTGGTATATATATAAAAGGTTGAATTTGTAAAAAATGTCATTCAAGCCCTTGATATATGGATTGTTGTGAGCATATACAAGGGCATGGATGACATTTCGATCATGTTGGAAAAAGTTTCATTCTCTCGTACATTGGGCTATAAATGAGCCGTGGTTTGTTCGAAATTGCTCATGTTTGAAATCAAATCGTGAATAGTGTGCTCGTGTTCGGCTCGAAATTTGACTCGTTAAAATTATTTGAAAAAAAATTGGTTTAGAGTGTTGGATTCAAACCTGAAGCAAATCTAAGGAGATGAAGAGCAAAACTACACTACAACACAAGATATATGATTTAAACATATATATAAATATATATAATATATTATTATATAAATAATTATATGATCTTTTTATTTCGAGCTAAAAAAGGTTGAACACGAGCAAACAAAGAATTGTTCTTTTTCGACTCTTTTATAACTCAAGCTTAAGAAATTTATTCTGTGTTCGGCTTGTTTACTTAATGAACGAGCCGAACACAAGCTACTTAACGAGTTGTTCACGAATAACGAGTTTTTTTTTACAACCCTATCTATTAGTTGTACACAGTTACTAATCATAATGATACATTTTAAACACAAAAAGTTTTTTTTTTGTATTATACATACATACACACACACACACACACACAGATATATATA